CCCCCGCCCTCTGCCCGCGCAGCCCGGCACCATCGAGCAGGCGGTGGAGGAGATCGGCGTGGTGGTGCGGCCGGTGGAGGACGGCGACATTCAGGGCGTGTGGCTGCTGACCGAGTGAGCGGGGCGCGCGGGGCGTGGGGACCGGCCGGGTGGCCTGTGAGCGGGGCGGCGCCCGGTGACTCGTGTCGTCTGCGGGCAGGGTTGACCACTGGAACAACGAGAAGGAGCGGCTGGTGCTCATCACAGACCAGGCACTGCTCATCTGCAAGTACGACTTCATCAGCCTTCAGTGCCAGCAGGTGGTCAGGGTCGCCTTAAACGCGGTGGACACCATCTCCTGCGGAGAGTTCCAGTTTCCCCCCAAATCGCTCAACAAGTAAGACTGTGGGACACAGAGCCTTAGTACCAGGGCCTGTAGCAGGTCCGTCCCAAATCGGCCCCCTGGTTGTCCTGAGTCTGCCATTCTGCGCGAACATAAAATCGTCTGCTTCAAATCGATAGTTTCTTAGAATAGAAGCAAGTGGGCAGCAGGTGCATTAAAAGGAATTCTGGCACAGAAGACAGCTATCAGGCTGGTAGTAAGATGAACTTGAGGTCTGTTGAAGCAGAGCTGACGTGGTGTTCTTAAGATGAGAGCCACATTCGGTGTGTGTCACCTCTGTCACATCAAGCTCTGCTCCGGTTAAATTTTAACAGAAAAAAAAAAAGCATCGCTTTTATTTGCTGATGTTACTAAAGGCAGAAGATAGTTACTGACCTGCTTTCAGAAGGGCGGATCTTGAAATACGAGAAGCCTGGACTTTAATACAAGGTAGAGCTTTGCTGCAGGGATGTGATCGGGGCTGTACCCAAGTCAAGACCGCTAACCGGCCGTGGGGCCTCCTGGACAAAGGGCCTGAGGCTACAGACATGTTGTTCTCGTGGTTAGCCTGCCTGCAGCGCCTTCCCGTTGCTGTTGAACTGCACTAATAGCATAAAGGGTGTTGGGCCCAAACAAAAACAACGGCGTCGGTTTGTAGTATTCAAAGTGCTCGGTGCGGGTGACTGGAGACCCCCGGCTCTGAGTGTCACAGGTCCTGTCCGCGGTCCCAGAGCAGCCCCCTAATGTCACACCCCGTACCTGCCGGGCTGCCAGGGAGAGCTGTGGCCTGCTGGGTGACGTGAAAGCTTCTTTCTTTGTAGGCGAGAAGGTTTTGGGATCCGCATTCAGTGGGACAAACAGAGCCGCCCTTCCTTCATAAACAGATGGAACCCCTGGTCCACCAACATGCCCTATGCCACGTTCATAGAGCACCCCATGGCTGGTGCGGATGAGAAGACAGCGTCTCTGTGCCAAGTAAGACCGTGAGGGCAGCGCTGTCCAGCCGTGATGGTGACACTCTAGGCCTGTGTGGCTGTTGAGCACCTGGACTGTTCTGTGTCCTAGTAAAACTGAGAAAACAAGCTTTTAAGTTTTAGAAATTTTAGCTAACTTATGTTTAAATAGCCCCATGTGGCTAGTGGCTCTTGGTCAGGGTAGCTGTATGACATCGCCCCTTGTGGCCATGGTCACCTTGGAGAAGGGCCCGGAAGGGCTCTGGGCAGTCTGTGCTGGGCCAGCAGGCTGCATGCTCGCCAGCAGAGGAGACCCTGGGGCCACCGGTGAGGGGAGTTGGGCCTCCCTCGCCAGTCGCACACTTGGCCTGCTCACTAGTCTGGCGGGTGGTGGTGAGGATTGAGTAGGTCCCTGACGACACAAGTGCTCTGTGAGGCCTGTCGTCTGTCCCAGTGAGCACAGAGCTAGGATCTGACGTTTCCAGAGAGGCGCATCGAGGAGCCGAGGGGAGGGGCTGCCAGGGTGTGGCTGGAAAGGCACGTCCTCCGAGGGCAGGGACGGGGCTGGCACAGGAAGGGGTGGTCCGTTCCACGTGTAGACCACTGACCGGCAACATGATTTCTGTCTTTACAGCTGGAAAGTTTCAAAGCTCTGCTAATCCAAGCTGTCAAGAAAGCCCAGAAAGAGAATCCTTTGCCAGGACAAGCCAGTGGCGTGCTGGTCTTGGATCGTCCCCTCCTCATCGAGACCTACGTGGGACTCATGTCCTTCATTAACAACGAGGCTAAACTGGGCTATTCCATGACCAGAGGCAAAATAGGCTTCTAGATGGCGCCCACAGGTAGACTTGGGGACGCGGGGCCTCAGACCCGGGCCAGCTCCGCTGCATCGGCAGAGTCGGGGCTGTTAACCTCTAGGGATCTGAGTGTGATTAGAATAGTCGAACGCATTCCCTGCTATCCCTGGGTTTTGGAAGTCTGGTAATAGGAGTCACAGACAAAAAAGCAAGGTGAATCCAGCGGTCCCGCTCGTGGCTGGTGTTCCATCTTCTAGAACTTGTTTCCGTGTTTCTCCCAGAGTGTCTCCATTCGGCTTCTCGTGGTCCTGCCCAGCCCTCCAGCATGTGAATAAACATGTGCCCCCACCAGAGCCTCCCCGCTAGCACTCCACCGGTGTGGATGGTTCCATCCAGGGAGGGCCCCAAACCCCAGTGCCTGGAGTGGCAAATAAGTTTATACTTAGTGTCAAGTTTTGTATTTGGAAATCTAATCCATTTTTTTAAAGCTAAGTGCAAAACAAGCCAGCAGACTGGTGAAGTAAACAGGGGACAGTCTGCCTTGTCGGCTCCCGGATGGACAGTTGCTTTTGTGCAAATACGTCTTTGACCTGAAGTCACACTTTTTCTGAAGTTATATCGTGTTCGTATTTGTGGCATCTTTCCCAGGCCCCAAAGCTGGCAGGAAATCATTTTTAGACAATTCATTAATTTGAGTCACCTTGGTAGGTAGTTCTTTGACAGCTGTACGTGCTTTACGTTTGTACGGTCACGTTCCGATTTAAGATGGGGACTGCTCAGTTTGCTTTCGGAGAATGCCCTTTTGAAAAAGGAACCGTATTATTAGAGTCTCATGAAGCCGCTAACGCCCGGCTTGGTTACCGCAGTGCCCACGCAAATGCGAAGCTTTATTGGTGTTGCCCTGAACGTGCCTGGGGCTTGGCGGCCCGCCGAGCACGTCCGTGTGGGAACCGTGGCCCCCCGCCCGTGGCACCCACACATCGTCGGCTTGCTGGCTTGACTGGAGGCTTTGTTATCAACCCCAAGCGCTGGTGCAGGGCGTCCTCCCCATTTACAGCTCTGGTGTAGCTCTTAACCCGCGTGGATGTGATCCAGATCATAGCCTGTCCACATCGAGAGGCCGCCGCCTCCATCCTGCCTGGGTCCTGAGCCTTTGCTTTTGGTCTCACAGTAAAGACGTTTACAACCGAATGGATATCGTTCTTTCTTTGAGATCGTTATTCAAAGTAGGGGCGACAACCAAGAAAACTCACCTCTGAAGTGTGTACGTTAAAGCTTTGTAAACCTGCCACCTTGCTGTGCACGTTCAGGAGGATGCTAGGGAAGTACGGTCCCCTGAGTTCGCTCACAGAAAAACCCAGAGTGATGGGCCAACTGTCTAGCTTTTAGGAAGACGAGTCCAGGTGGGGGGACTCTGTGCGGAGCCGGCCTTGACCGGACGGCCCTGGGGCCGGCAGCTCCTGTCCCCGCGCTCCAGCACGCACCCCATATGAAAACCGAGCCCCCTCTCCAGGAGTTTCAGTGACCAGGAACGGGGGCGCCAGAGCAGAGCAGGATGTCTGTCTGAGGGGGAAGTTGCTGCCTGGGGTCAGTGACTTTCTGTAAGACCGTGAACCCAAAACCTGAAACAAACCAGAAAACCTTCCTATGACTTAAACCTGTCACGAAAACCAGCATCAGCCGTCTCATGAGTTAGCAAATGTTTATTTTAAATAAAAATTAGTTTCATACCATACATATTTACAGGAATGCTATACAAAAATAAAAGCCGGTCATTTCATCTGGGCCACGGTTGCGGAACACCCCCCACCCCCCAGAAGCCCCGCACCTTCCCCGTAGCTGCCACGTGCCGCGGTGTTCTCTCGTCTCGGCGGGGCCTGGGCACTCGCAGGTCCTACGTGTGGTCACCTGGCCGTCCAAAGGCCGTGCCAACCCTGTCCTTGGTTTCCAGGAAACACAGGCAGAAGTGGTCCTTACTGAGGAGGGCCAGTGAGTCCCCGTTTAAATGCCAGCACAGAGAAAGCACCTGAAAGTCACCTGGAGAAAGACAGGCAGCCGGAGGGTGAAAGGGTGAGGCCAGGGTCCCAGGGTGAGCGCGGCCCCAAATCCTGTGGTCGAAGGACAGGCCTGGAGAGACCCAGCTGCAGCCCCAAAGCTCAACTCGGGTGGGCATCTCTGTGTCCCATGAGAGCTCGGAGCGGTGGACCCCCACCCGGTGTGTGATGCCGGGGACCGGCCTGAGGTCTCCCCGGATGTGCCCAGAGGGACTCCCGACCGTACACCCGAGGCGGTCGCCCACACGAGCCACGGTGCCCAGGTCGGCTGGGAGGGACTCATCTGTTAGGGTTCTGCCTACAGCCGGTCACAAGCGCCACTGCGCTCACCTTCCCCAGGCACCTGCACGGACACGCAGCCCGCTGGCGACCACAGGTACACCTTGCCGCCTCCCGTGCAGATGGCCAGCCGGGGCTGCTGCGGGTCCCACTGGAAGGAGCGCACGGGGGACAGCTGCTCCAGCACCACGAAGAGCCTCAGCTTCTGAATGTCCCAGATCCAGACGGCGTTCGGGACACTGTCTGAGGAGGGAAGACGTGGACACCCTGCTTCGGTGTCCCCGCCTGAGATGCACGCTGGGGGGCAGGCCACAAGCCTCGTGGACGTGGCTGCTCCGGTGTCTACGAGCCGGACGGTCCCCCCGCCCAGGCTTAGAGCCCACAAGGGCGGGTTTGGCGGTTTTTACAGCCCTCAAAACACGTGAGCCCCCTTCCCGCACGAAACGGGCCATGGCTGTGGTGGCGCCCGGACCCTGCTCTTCACCCGATGGCAAGCAGCGGGCGGAGGCGCCAAGACACCGTGCCTCCGGAAGCTTCTGTGGGCACAGCGTCCCGGCAGGAGGACGCGACATGCCGGAAGCCCGTCACCGGGGTTTCGCTCACCCGGTCTTCATGCCTGGGCACCGGAGGAAACAGGGAGGGGCACGGCCCGCGAGCGCGGCCACTGACCGCTTCTCGTCGCCAGGAAGTAGCTGTCCGGGCTGAAGGCCAGCGCTCCGATGCCGATTTTCGGGTTCGCTCTGTCGGCAACAGGCTTCAGGGTCTGCAAGGAGACTGGCACGGAGGCGATCTCATCTAGAACACAGAAAGGGAGGGGACAGGAGCCGCTGGCCTCGTCCACTCAGTTCAGACGGAAGGAAAAGAGGACTTCGCGTTAACCCACGGAGGCAAGGTTCTATGGAAACAGGCTTAAGGGGACCCGGCCGCGGCGCTGGAGCCCATGTTGCGGGTCAGCGCGCCAGGTGCCCCCGTGGCGGGGTCTGTGTAGCGGAGAGACCACGTGTGAGCGGGCAGGGGTGTGGCAACTCTGTGCCTTCCCCTCAGTTTTGCCATACACCTAAACTGCTCTAAAAAAAGTCTTAGGGGCGCCTGGGTGGTGCAGTCGGTTAAGCGTCCG